AACATACAGTACTTTAACAGAGGTACTTCTACTCAGAAGACAAGACAACAACTGATACAAAAGTCGTACTGGAAAAATGAATTCCACATCCAGATATGTTTAAGGTAAATGTAAGTAAATAAAAATTAATAACAATAACAACAATAATATAATATGAATTTAGGACCATAGAGAGAAAATCAATTACGACGCCAAGTTGTGAAGTTTTCTGTTTTTTTTTTATTTCAACTTTTTGTGTGTGCTTACGCCCCTATCCCTTCAGGTACTGGAATTAATATCAACATAGTACACAGATCCAATATTATACAACCTCATATTGCTCCCTCTGTGAAGTTATATATTAGATCTTTTGATCATTGATCTATGTTCCTGACGAGGTGGGGCGTTAAGCACTACAAAACGTCGAAATAAAATTAAAAAAAGAACATCTCTGGTCGTAATTGACCTGCTCCCTTTCGTTCTAAATTCAATTTACAGTATTAATCAAAGGTTTTCCGAAAAAAATTCTCCCATAATAATAATAATAATAATAATAATAATAACAATAATAATAATAATAATAATAATAATAATAATAATAATAAAATCGACGGAGGTAGAGAAAAAGTTATAGAACACAGTTCCTGAGATGCTGCTGGCAAGAAACTCTTGCCAAATAATGAAAGAACAATTAACAACTCTGGCAGCAAGAGCAACTTCAGAAATCTCAGAACAGAGGAGATGTCGGGAGAAGAGAAACAGTGAGAAGCAGGTGAAAGTTCCTAGGCGCCCAAAAAGGTATTGATGACCGGTACTTCTAACACGGTCACAAAAGCTCCTGAAAACGTTACAGCTACGGCCAAAAAAGGTATCACCACCACAATATATTTGAAAGGAACAAACGGCATCACGGACAAACATTATCAGTCACTGAAGCACTTCGTAACTTGCCATTTCAAGACCATTTACGGTTCCCATCGCAAAAGATTCGTCTGGAGAAGAACAAAACTCTTATTCCCAGGTCCTGGTAACGAAAATGTGGGTATCTTGATCCTAAACACAGTAAATTATATACTCTAACATGCTATGTAATCAGAATCCGTTTTGTGGGTCCTTGATACCGAAAAATTGATTGACGGAAAACGCTATCTTCTGTGTTGACTGAAGCTACCGCCTAGCCGATTTTCTTAAAGATAGATATTCTTCGATCGATTTAATTGGTCGAGGTACACACTTGGTGAGAGGTCAAAGAATTTGCACGTTTCACGAACATTAAGGAATAAAGATTCTACTTCACTTCAGGGAGCGTCCTCTTGCTCCAAGCCCTCAAAGATTGAGTTTCATGGCCTCCGTGAGTTCACATCAGCCACTAAGAAGTAGCATGGATTGGTGAAGTACTTTGTTAAGGAATAACACTGATATATACACGAATGATATTGCTGGTGTGAAGTGTGTTAAGATGACTAAGAGGCAAGATAAGTACTTCCGATTGATTCGTTGCAAAAAGGGTCTGACAGTGCACTACAAAATGACTGCGATTTATTCTTTGTCTTGATGTACTTTGACAGAACTAGACAAAATAAGCACACAATGTTTGTTCTTTTTTATCTATTTTTCAACTATTAAGTATCTGTTTGATATTAAATTATGAGCTACCGGACAGGGATACTACAGAGAAACTAGTGGAGATAAAACAGCACATACGTTTTAGCATTCACTTTAAAATTGTTATTTTCAGAAATTCTGAGTTCAACGAAAACGAGACCTGCGCCATTCTGTTAAGCGTTTCCTGTTCCATCCGTGGGGGGAAAATAAAGAAAAACTCTGATGCCGTTTTTGAGAACATGTTTTTCTTATAAATAAAATTAATTTCAAGCACAAATTACGCTAAAACTACTGCTTTTTCCCCACCAAAATAATCATGACCTTTTTAAAGAGCTGGTTTTTTAGAACTCTAATGATCTTGGTTGGCCGGGAGCCACCGCGACGAAGATGTGGTGCCGATGTTTCGACGATCTTTGAGCACAACGTTCGACAGCCAAGATCATTTGCATAACTCTGGCCGCGGAAGCCTACCACTTCACGATTTATTAGAGCATTTTGTTGAAGACAAAAAGGCTAGCACCACATTTTTCACTGTCTGAAAGATTCGGGGAGAAAAGTTTAAGAAAACATTTAGATCCGTTTTTGAGAAAAATAATATTTAAAAAAATTAAAAATTACCTATATTTTACGCAAAATCACGAGAAAATTACTTAGTTTCCAAAAATTGCACATGTTCTTATTTAAAAATGAATATTCAAAGAGCAGTTTTTATTCTAGAAATAATGTCCCTCTTCAATACTGTAGCTATAGGAAGACGTCGGAAAAATTGAACTTTCGTAATTTCAGGAACAATTCAGGGATTTCATCGAAAATTGGACATGGACCATTCTTTTAAACGTCCTTTACTCTACCCGAGGGCAAAGTTTAATCAAATCATTTGGACCCGTTTTTGAGAAAATTGAGTCTTCATGTGAAGGTATCTTCCAAAAATGAAAATATCCGTTTCATGCTCAGAGGGCCTCGAGTTCCTTTAAAGTGATCGAAGAATATCAATTTTGGCGCTAGCTTTTTAAACGACAGACAGATGGACTAAACGACATTTGGGCGTCTATCGATTTTCAGGTTCCAAGGATCCACAAGAAATGGTGTCTGACTTCACAATATTTTAGAGGAAGTAATTTATTACATGTAGAAACTAGATTTATCCATCTTTTCCTTTCCAGGGCCCGGAAATAAAGAGTTTTTCGGTCAAAACTTAGCCACTTTTCGGCGCATGATACTTTCTCTCCCTACGAAGTCAGGATAAGGAAGTAAACTAGTGTTGCTAAAAAATCACATACTTTCTCGCATTACTTCTAAATTTTCAATTTTCAAAAATTCAAAGAGTTCAACGAAAACGTGACCTGCATCATTCTTTTAAAGGTTTCTCGTCCTATGCGTGAAAAAAACAACAACAAAACACAAGTTTAAAAATGTATTTTTTAATTATTTGCATTAATAAAGCGAAAACTCGTTTTTTTAAAATGTACATTACCCCTTTTAGAGAGATGATTTTTTAAAACGGTTTTTGTGTAAATCATTTTTATCTACAATATTATTGTTTCTTCTTTTACTATAAAATGTTTTGATTGCTGTTTATGGTGTTCAAAAATTGGAAGCTCACTTCCATGCAATCAATGCAAGCTAGAGCAAAATTATTCTTTATGTTCTGTATAATGTGCTGCAAATACTGTAACAGATAATTTACTCGTGTATATTTTATTAGTAAAAGTAAGAAAACTACTGTTCCTGACTATCGAAACGAATGGAAATAACAGGAGCTAGTTGAAATGGACTTTTTTAAGTAACTTTTTCAATAGATGAGGTGTTGTTAGATTAGAATTTGTAATATTACAATATTACATAAGGATCCAATACTGCGACAAAGTATGTGGTATTGTAGCTTCTCTAGTTAGTAGTTGCCTGGTGGACCATCAATACACTGCGTCAATTTAAAGTACTGAGCTTCCGCTTGAAATTGTATGGAAACCAGTTCTTTGTCTAAGGATAGGTCTACAATGTGATAATACCTCTTAAAACCTATGATTTTAACAAGAACTAGAAGTAATGACCTAAATTTGATTTTGAGAAAGAAATGGAAAGAAAGATATTTGAGAAATGAATAATGGAACTAAAATAGTAAATAACTCATTAATGAAACAATATTACACAATAGAATGTTCTAACCGAGAAAATAATATGAAGAAGGGAAGAAATAATAAGCAAGAAATATTGAAAACAATGATAAAAAATGATTTAAGAATTTACTCGCTATACATTAAATATTTCTTGCCAGAATTTATGTCCCAAAATATCTGATACATTATCTCTCCGAGAGTTTTTAATCAATTAAAACACTGTTTCTTCTCGAGTGAAATAAAATAGAAGAAAATAAATCAGGTGAAATATGAGTGACAAGCGACATCAATGCAAAATAATTTTTCATGGATTCTTAAATGTATAATGTTATGGCAACAACAATCCACAAGAAAGATATGAAAACAATGAAGATACAAGGAGCAACATAATGATTGTTCTGCCATCTGCCGAGGGGCTCATGTGTGGCAAAAGCTGTGAGAAGAGCCCTCTAGGTTAGCAGTGACTGTGTAAACACTCAATGCAACATCACGCACACACACTCACCCGGCGGCTGGTGTTTCTCGTCAGGTTCTGTCAAAGACAAGGGGAAGAGAAAAAACCACTTCTCAAATATTTTTTGTCACAAGAAATAAAAATTTACTTTATAAGAATACTAAGAATAAAAATACTTTCCTTGTACAGGATTAATTAGATTATCTATTATGTAAAAGTAGATAAAAATGGTATAGCATTATATTTACACATGTTCATCTATGTAATATAAGGCATTAACAATACTTAATAATAATGTACAGGAAAGCATTATTATTCTCATGAATGAAGCATTAACAAAAAGCAATAATGACTTCCACATTTTTCATTTAATTTTTGAAATTTAATTTAAGAGTAAACATGATTGTAAAACATACCATTTATCAAATTCAAATATTTTCAAAAGTCACACTCAAGAAAGGAATATCTGTGTAACAGTTACAAGCAATAAAATATATCAACATCACCAATTAAGATTTTTCTAAGCAAAGTAACTTTTTAATTGCATCATATAATGTTAAATGATATTTAATATTAAAAATAATGCTAATGAAATGTTTAAAAAAAGGTGAGAAAGTAGAGGAATTAAAATCAACATTTGCATGCATGTGCCAATTTGTGAACTCGCAAAGAAAATAATGTGATTGTGTTAAGTAAAAAGAGCATGAAAAATGAATGATTTTACGCTACATATTAATAAAACTATTAATGAAATTTTTGTTCTCAATGTACTTCATGCAATCATTTAAAAAAATCTCAAAATTATATAAGGTGGTTCTAATTATAGGACTTAGGAGATACATTACTTTTTTCGAGTTCCTTCACTTTAATTCGAAGATGATCACGAATAGTTGGTAGAACTTCTGTATTATTTTGAGAGCGTAATTTTAAATTTGCCATCGTGAATGCTTGGTCAGATACAACCAAGTGCCTCTCTAAAATTTGACGCACCTGGAAAATTAATTAGTAATATAAAAGTGTGTATTGATCCTTTAAAACACTTCACCTACATACACTATACATCAAAATTGATTAAAAATTCAGTCATTTACAACACCATAATATTCAGATGAATCATTAAAGAAATAAAGTTTCTCATTATGCCAAAGTTTTTGTTAGTGGTTTGCTTACATGATAGTTGTAATCCTTCATAAACAACTTCTTATGTGTAGAAGGAAACCTTATTTCCAATTTCTTCCATGCAAGATCACGAGGAACAAAGTAAGTGAATCTCTTGCTTTTATCACCAAGCTGATCATTAAAATGGTCAGTTTCTCCCAAATGAAAAGTTTGACTGAAAAGTGAAAAAGAAAATAATAATATCAATAGTAACAATAATAATAACAATAACGATAATAATAACGATAATAATAATAATAATAATAATAATAATAATAATAATAATAATAATAATAAAAATAATAATAATAATTTGTCAATCATAAAACTAAAATACTTCAGGAAGTAGCATAATTAACGTGAATCTTACTTCAGCATGGGATCTGTTGCCAGTTTCTCCTTCACAGTAGTGTACGGAACACCAAGAACACGATCAATAATGTGCACTATGCCATTGGTAGCAGCTATGTTTGGTTGGATGACAGTGGCATTTACTCCTCCCCCTTCAACAGTGAGGGTGTAGTTGTGGTCACCTGGGATCACGTTGAAGTACAGATTCTTGTGTTCGATGGCCGTGGGCACCTGGAACAACTGATGTCAGACCAAATCCTGCCTCAACAGTCCACAATTTTACTACACATGCAATGTTTACATTATAGCGCTACTCCCAACAGTTAACATTGTTTATTTCACGATATAACTTCTGCACATTGGATGTGTGTAGTTTACTTAAAGCCCCAAGGCTCACTAATAGTGTTTCTTAATACCAAATATTACCCTGACCAGAAGCATGCAAAAATTATAAGTTATCAGATGAGTTAGAAATAAAAGTTAGTTTTTGATTAATATGCTGGCCATATGCAGACAACCACAAAAAATATATTGAGTATATAAAAAAATTTTTGACTCATCACAATAAGACAGAATGAATACATAGTGCAAAGTGGACATAAAAAGCACAAAATATTTAGTGACAAGCAAAGATATATGTAATGAATTTTTTTTTTGTAAATTGAAAATACAATCAAATGACAAATTGTGAATGGCACTTTTTTGTAATATATCATTTTTAAATAAAGAAAAAAAAACTGTGGTGGTATGAACTGCGTGTTTTTGTTTACAGTACCAATTTTATAAAGAAGCTGAAGAAAATCCTCCTTGACAATCTGGAATAAAGCAATGGATAAAAATTGAAAATACTGGAAAGAAAGACAAGTTCATGAAAGATTACGGAAAAGAAACCTAGGAACCAACAAATCACAATACAAGCGAACTCAAGTTTCTCAAGTTCGAAAGCCTTCGTAATTTTTAAGCTCCCATATTCACAAATACATAATCTCGTTAAATTCACAAGATGATAAAAAGTAAAAATCTTTCCAGTCCACACGAGAGTTTACATTCAGAGATTTCGTTTCAATTTTGGTATTTTATGTCGCTTTGGTCCCATTGCTCGGTCACGAGGACATGCCAGCGAGCGCGGCCATCAATTGGATATGCTACGTAGCCAAGGGTCCATTACTGCAAATTTAGCGTATTCTGAACATCCTCTCCCGTAATGCACTCGCAACGTGGGTTCGACTATCCTCTCATTTGCAAGAACTAAAATTAAATTCAAAAAACAATAAATAGTTGTATTAATGTTATTTGTGTTAAAGTGTATAACAATTAGTGTCGGAATTAGCTAGGCAAATACATACGAAATGTTCCCGTTCATGCTAATGAGATTATGCAGCTACTTCTGTGATCATACGAATGAACAAGAAACGTGCCTGGTTTGTAAGTTTCAATCCTTCTAAGTGCGTTTCTTTGGTTTATGTTTGGAGATTTACAATATTTTAATTATGAAATTAATTTACTTTAATTTTATTTCATTAATTTCGAATTTCTTCCTCCTCGCAAGGAAACTAATCTGCTGATACGTGACATGTCTGATTTACACTACAAATACGTTTCTCCGAGAAAAAGATTTTGCTCACTGAATTGATTATTCGAAACGTGAAAAATGTTAGCTTAAGATATTTACTATAGAAAAACAAAAGAGAAAAAAATGACCAAACACAACCATAGTTTCAGAATGGGAAAACCCATGCATTATATTACTTCAGCAGTAATTGTTATCAACAGTATTAACTATTTGTTGACATCTATATGAACTTATTTTAGAAAGGAATGGAAAACCGTAATTGTGACGTCATGCTAATTATTCAAAGCATCAGTGAATGGTGTGTTTTAATTTGCTCAGAAATGTATTTTGACAACTGTATGTTAATGTTGAAAACTAGCACAAAAAACTAGATTGAAGTTCATTGCATGTGCATTATAAGAATAAAAATTTGATGTCATAAATATCCACTGCATCGTGTTAAGTTGGAATACTTCCCAACTTAATTATCTTTTGCACATGATATTTGGTACTGTTTGTGAATTTCTGCATTTGTTTTGTTTGTACTGCAGTAAACAATGTGTCTTTGCCCCTGTGATAGAAGTTCATTCTTCTTTCTCGAATACGTAAGTATCTAACGAGTAATACGTAGTATAGAGAAAGTTATGCTGCGAAAACTCCCCAGGGGTCCCCTGATTTCGAAAAACTAAGGTCCCAAACGCTCAAACGCCATTTTATCAAAAAGGCTTCAAATTTTGGGGGGTTTCAATAAATTTTCGAGGGCCATCTGAATCAAAGAATTTGCGAACCATGCTCCCTCACGTGTCGGCAGCGCGCGGGTCGATATCACGGCGAACCAACCTCGCGCCTACGAGCGCCACCAACGGAAGATAATGCGTACACCCCAACGAGCTAGAATATACTACATTGAGTGACTGAAGCGCCTCCATCTTTGAAGCAAATTGAAGCCATGTTAAAGCAGTTTGAAGCAAATTGAAGCCATGTGCAGTTAAAGCAGCGCCCTCTGGAAAACAAAATAGTATAACATTACGTTTGGCGCTGGTTACGGGAGGTTACACTGCCACTCGTATGTTTTTACTCCAAAAATCACGACGGCCACTAGTTCGGAGAGCCTCCACCAAGAGCGCTGAAACTGTGGGGACAGCCACTCTAGGTAGTATGTTCTAGCTCGTTGGTGCACTCGCTGGCAAAGAGTGAGCACGCTCCAACGCACCAAGGGTGGAGGTAGAAACCTTCTTCACGGAACTTTACGGAAATGCTTCGGAGGTCAACTGCAACCCCAGGACCGCGACCCCTTCAATACCGATGATTTTATGGTGGTCAAGACCCTTCGCTGGCTTGGAAAGAGTAGGAACATTCCACCAGGGGCGGACCATCTAGCATACGTCCATTTGCGCACTGTAGATCCACCATTTGCGCACTGTAGTAAATGCAAGCTCCGTCTGCGGAGCGTCCGGGAGTGGAGACGGTTTTGCACAGTGGCCATCCACAGGAATGGCCAAGAGACGGACCTCAGAAACTGGCATCGGTAGCGCGATTATCAGCTGTACAGGGGTTCGTTGTCGAGCAACAAGAACGTTGGGACTGGGCGATACGGTGCCCTACCTCGGGGGCAGAGGACTTTCGGCCGGTCGATGTCATGCTCGAGCAAAATTTGGAGGAAATGGAGGAGATGGCGGAAACATATTTTAGGTAGGGAGGTCCATCCCTCCCGCCTGAGCCTTGCCACTGGTCGACATGACCAACGCGTTCGTGTCCGCCCAGCAGACCGCGGTGAATGCGGCGCCGGGCGCGGCTGTCGTCGGCGCCCGTCCCGTGTGATCCTGGCGGTTACAGACCGCGGCACGAGAACGGGTCCTCCGTCGGATGGCGGCATCGACGTAGCCTGCGGGGCAAGCCAAGGCTGCTCTCTGACCAAGGACCTCCGACAAAGCTAATCAGTAATGGTAACCTGACGCTATTGGTCACGACGGAGGGCAAGATATTACTCGCACAACTTTTCTTGGACGATGACTCTCCTTCCCCCTCTCTGGCACAATCCAAAATATCCATAATATTTTTCCAAAATATCTAAAGAAATGACCTAAGAAGATAAAGATATATTCCAAGAGATACCTCGAACTCCTGAGAAAGTTAGAACGCAAATTATTGAGAACTTTGCGAAGGCATGACCGTGTCTCCCGAGATTCGCATTGCTTCATAAAATCTAGGGGCTGATTATGTAACTACGACCCCACTCTACCCGCATTTCTTCAACCCATCGTTCAAGAAAAGTTGCTCGAGTAATACAGACCCGCCTAAGCATTGCAGACTGAGCTCTGCAGCGATGGGCGAGCAGTCGGAAGCACATGGACGCGGGTGGGAGACGTGAACGCAGCGACCTCCGATAGGGTGAATTCAGAATTTAATAAATTCTTTGCGCCGAAGAAAAATGTTAGTTTTGAAGACCGAAATTTAATTCGCCCGACGACACGCAGACTCGTTCATAACCTCACTGCAGCCACGCGAAGAGAACTCCTCCAGGACGGAATCGTAATTGCTCCAGCTCGCTTGTTGCCTGCTCGACGGGAAAATTTCGGAACGTATGCAGTTGAAGTTTGCGGCGACAATGGTACTACGGTTAGCGTATCGGACAGTTATACCCAAGTTGATTGGGTTCAAACCCGTGGATTTTTAAGGGCGAAAAAAATCCTTCGTACGCCTTTCTTCGGAGGAGAAGTAAAGCCGGCTGTGCCATGTTAGAATATTTGCTTGCATGTAAAATATCAAGTATAAATGACGCCTCTAAGCTAATTCAAATCGCCTATTTCGTCGCCCATGAAATTTCTCCTTTTCCCGCTAGTTGGTAAAAGAAGCGTAGCGAAATTTGCGTTGTCAGATGGAAGAGCGGGCCTGATGGCCTGAGTCTCGCCACGTAACATAAGGCATGAATTCAATTCGACCTCACCCTGGAAGAAACTAATGCAATGAAATTTACAACAAAGAAAACAAGCCGATGAGAAGCGAAATTGAAATTGTGGAGGTGTGCAATCAACATCAAGAATTTCACACCCCAACAGAGAGGTCGCAGCCGGAGCGAGGCCGAAGGAAGAGTGGGAGAAATGCTCGATCTGCCGGAAGATGGAAGATGACCAGCCCTCTGGTCGCAGTGTCGTCGGAACAAGAAATCCATTGTCAGAGGACGTGCAGATCGAGATTTGTGCACCAAATGGAAAGTGTGCCATTGCAAGACAGTGACGATAATAGAATTTCGTTGGTAATTTGAAAAGAAGAGAAAACATTCCTGATAGTTCAAAATATCGGTATCACAGAGCTAAAGAAAACTTGTGAAATTTTGTTGGGCACGGAGGGACACGTGACGTGTGTTCCAAGTGAGTCATTAGCGATGTCGGGAAAGTTTGGCGACAAGGAATGCAAAAATTCGCGGTTAGGAAGGAATGAGATTGTAAGTCGGGGAAAACATTTTTAACTTGTTAGAAACGTGCAACATAAAGCTCAAGTTTTTGTTATTACGAATTTGAAAATGTGTATTTTGGAACGAGATTTTGTTTAGTAAAGTTAGTTCACAATACCCCAAGTAAAAAAAGGTTTGTGTGACAAAAACGTTTTCAAAAACAAAAAATGCCAGGCAGCCGAATTGAAAACTTGAAGAGCTACACCACGTACTTTCTCGCATTTTTGAAACAGTTATGTAATATTGTAATATTGCAATTTCTAACCTACTAACATTTCAGCTATAAATTGAAAAAGTTCACTTCAATGAATTCAAACCAAGGGCCTGTGATGCAAATCTGCATTTATTTTTATACTCAAGTGTAGAAGTCATTTTTGACTTTTACAAATGAAACAAATATTAAAATATATTTAGTTACAGTGTTTGCAACATATTATACAGGATAGCAAAAATAATTTCACACAACTGACTACATTGACTACATCGAAGCGAGCTCCTAATTTTTGTACATTACAATCAGAAATGAAAACTTTTTAAAGTTAATACTTGTTCGAAGTTAAATTAAATTTTTGAACAATTTTCGAAATGTCAGGTAGTGCAACGGAAATGCAATTTTCACCATTTCTATATGCGTCTTCTGCTCTCTCAGAGGAAAAACTAAGAAACAATCTGGGCCTCTTTTGAGAAAATTTCGATATCGTTGACTTCATGTAAAGTATTCCAAAAATCAAAATATCGATTTCAAATTCAAGGGGCCTCCAGTTCGTTAGGAGAATATCAATTTTGGAGACAAAGCATGCACTAGCATTGATAACGGGCAGACAGACTGATAAGACGTTCTGCCTTTAATCGATTTTTCGGTATCAAGGACTATGTCCAAAACTACAAAATGAGACCGTTTTGGAAGCTTTATTATATAGTTGGATGGTTCTTTCACTTCGTAGAACGGTTTGTCAGTAACTGTGAGAATTGGACTGCAGTCAAACCTATTTTCAGTTTTTAAACATTTTGCACGGAATTCTTCAAGATGTCACATTCTACAGCTGTTTCGCAAGCAGTATTCTACAAAACGAAATGCTTTTGAAATGTATGATATTTTCAATTTAATTCTAGGGACTCCTTCGCCGTAGCATAGGTGGGTGGTCAGAAACGACTAATCATTCTAAATCTAGGTAAAATTGAAATTGCATTGCCATCAATATGCCCGTCCACGCCGAGTCTATAATGCTTTAACGTAAAATTATGGGTTTGTCCGTTCGAGGCTGGGATACACTTTGAAGCTTCTTTCACCTTCAAAACAATTAATTGCAATAGATGTTCACGTGAGTCCAGTTAGAATTACAATTGGACGTTATTATTTCAAATAATACGAGAAAGTACCTCTGTCCCTTCAACCAAGAGCCCAGCGTCATCACCCATCCACGAAGCACCGAGTCTCCCATTTGCTTCATCCCTGAACCTGGCACCGGTCTTTACAAGAAAAGTTAGTTACTGACTTAGCAAATGCGGTTATCAAGACATGCCTCCAACTAGGATGTTCAAATTAACACAAAGTTATTTTATACTTTGACATGCAATGGTACAAAGTGCTGCGGCCTCACCTGGTTCTTGTTGTTCTTGACGATCTCCTCGACCGGCAGCCGCTCCTCCACGAGGTGCAGGTCCAAAATTTCTCGCAATCGAGGCTTGTCCTGGAGCAGCTTGTTGATGTAAGCGTCTGTCCACGCCGCATTCGACGGGGCAAACAGTGTCAACTCCTTCATGTTAGTAATCCGTTGCATGAAATCACCACCTAAATCCATGATGACTTCATAGAATTTGTAGAGAGGACCGTCCTCCTTTTCCTGAGAAATAAACATATCAATAATGTCAGTTTTTATTCACAGTTTCAGCAACCTAGAGCTCTCTGTCAGAGTACAATAAACGGTTAACTGCATCCAAGATGCCCGTCGAAACTACCTTTTATATTTCGATTTTTGTATTCAAAAAATCATATATTTATTGCACCTGACATTGTGATTTTGCAGGATACATCTTGGGTCACAAATATGGTAATACATTAATAACATTTGTCCATACAATTCTTCATTTAATCTATGTATGAATACAAAAGTTAACAGTATATGATGTTCCTAATGTAAACGTATATCTCTTTTTCAAAAAGTTCGCATTTCGGATCAATACCAGTGTAGTCAATCAATGTACTTTGATGAACGTGTTTTGAGGTTCTAAAAAGTGATCATCGCAGAATTGAAGAAATTTGAGGAGCAAGATTTAGGAATTGTAACACTACATAGTGCGATCATAGTTATGAAAAGGAGAGAAACCTTGAAAACTGTTCCAAACAATTAAGGAAACAGAGCACAGAGACATGGGAAAAAATGTTAATGTCAATAGTTGAATACAGCTTCTTTGACAAAATGTGTGTACAAATATTTTTAATTTAACCATTGTTTTGAATTTTATAATAATACTCCACGAATACTCCAAGAATATGAGTCCTGGAGTATGTACGTACGTGACTTTGTGGATGGCTGTACTATATGTAGGTCTGTATATATTATGGTTTAAATTAGTTGAGTAAGTTTTTCCCATTAGCCCAAAATTGGATGCAGCAAATGGAGGATACTATTAACTGAAAAGTGATGAAAACTAGCAAACTTACCGAAGTATACTCTCAGTATTCAGATGATTGCATGATCCAAGTTTAAGGTTATTTTAAGTTCTAATTTGGAACACATGTCAGGATTAAAGTCTATTGGTGGGGTTCCAAACAAGGTTAAGATTGGTGCAGATGGAGGAGATACACGGACCTTTGAAACCGAAATTCCGGATATGTCTGTTTGAATGGAAGCTTCACGCGTACTTTGTCAGATTAGAAGCTTTTGAGATTAAACTTCATAAATCTGCTCGGAATAGACTCTAGTTGTACTTTTCCGGAGATCATTAAGATATTTCGGTTGTGGGGGGGGGGGCGGCAACTTTACAAGAAGCTCCTATGACATTTTCAAATATTTATGGAATACGACATATTCTTTCTCTACATTTTTGTCGAATATTCGCCTTTTTTACTAGCAGCATTACTTCTTTCTCTTTACTGCGTAAGCGGGAGTGAGAAAGTAAGTAGTAGTGCTGCAGTCTTTCTGATATTGATTTCCTATTTTCTTAGGTCTGAGCTAGCTAATCCCACTTTCCCCGTATTCTTGCTACCTGCCGTCTATTTCGTTTTTTGCCTACCAGCCGTTTTTGTTTCCTAATAGTAGAACCGAAATATTACTATAAAAAATATAACTGAAGAGTAAAACCTTTTCCTAAATGGCAATTTTCATCGGAGCCGTTTTGAGTTTCGAGAAACTTCATTTAAAGTCACTTAAGGTACTTTAACTTACAAATGCAATACACGTTTACAAATTGCTGATATATTATACACACGATTAAAATGCAATATTAAAAAACAACAAAATAATACAGCAAAATGGACTTTGTGTCATGTTAAGAGTGCAACTAGCTACTATTCATTTGAAGGAAACATTTGAAGTCGTTCTTGAGAAAATGGCGTTTAAACATTTCTATAATCGCAGAATTTTGAGCTCATTTTCACAGAAAAATGTTGAGTTTCTGAGAAACTTTACATGACATTATTTAAAGCACAATTTCTCGTAAATACAATAATGTGAACATAATGTGAGAGACGTCAAAAAATTACTTTTTTGTAATTCTTGAAAAAACAAAACCATATAGCAATATGGCGTTTATATAATATTAAAGAGCACATTTTGCACAATTCATACCAAAATTTTGAAGAAAAAATTTTGAACCGTTTTTGAGAAAATCTTGTTTTTGTTATGTTTTAAAATTGCATATACTAGACGCAATAATGCTGGAAGACCACTAAAATGTTCAAAAAATGTACATGAACTTACTGATACTGATCAACAAATTTCATTTGAAGGAAAACCCGCTATCTTTAATTTTGTAGTTGTAAGAAAACGTCGAAAAAATTCAAATTTTTAAACATTTTCAAAAATTTACAGTTAACCACGAAAATCGGACCTATTCCACTTTATTCAACACATGGCACAACTACAACAGCATTGCGGTCTCTGAGGAAAACGTTTTAGCCACAAATTGGGAACCATAATTGAGAAAAAAATGTGTAAATGTAATTGAGGCTTCTTGGAAAATATTCCCCAACACCAATTCCCATTTCAAGCTCGCAGGGCCTCGTCTTCGTCGGTATCGATCGGGAAATATCAACTTTGGAGAAAATCGTCTGAAAGGTTTAGGCCAGGCATATCAAGGTCGCGTGCAAGGTCACAAAGCTCACTTTAAATCGCGGCCATTGCGTCCAGAGCAACTGGCTCGACATTTAAAAGTAAGGATTGTACAAATTGCTGAACATCAGAATAACTGGTCCATGTCAGTTTCCTTGACATCACTTGACAATTATTTCCCCAAACCTAGCTACATTACTTACCATTCCGTCTGAAGCAAAGAAATGGCACATTAAAATGAAATAATACATCGGTCAGATTTCAAAATTGAACCTTTTGAATCGAAAGTACCTTGATTTCGTAACTTGTTTACTTAAGAGTGCGCAATGATTGCATCAACTTCCTTCGTTCAAATTAGTAGGTTTATCAAATATTATTGTCAGTTAAAACAGCTATCCGACCGTAAGCGAGAATTGTTAATTTATAAAAATCTTGTTAATTTATTTCATGTAATTCCTACATACAATGAATAACTGAATGATTTAATAAAAGTAGTAAAGAATATAAATATAAAATAATATTTAGATATAACAAATAGGGCAAACAAATTCCTATGAAGCCACTATTCCCCGCCTCTGGCCTCTGCAGATTGCTCGAATGCACCCCTGTCTGGAATTGGAGGAGAAATAAGAGCGGGGTCAGGGGAAGTCGCCAGTGCTCGTAGGAACGCCAGTTTTTCCAGACAGGTAAGTAGCTCGTGCGGCCCGGTCTGACGTCTGTTTACGGCACTATTGTTTATCGCATCGATTTTGCCAGAAAGATCTGTAAACTGTATCACAAATTGCATAATTTTCGAAAAATCAGAGATTTCACAGAAAATCACAGAAGAGTTCTTAACGCTATCCGCAAAAAAATGTAATCAAAAAACTTGGTGCCATTTTTCTTTTTAATTTTGAAAATGTTCCACGGGCTTCATTTACAGTACCTTCCAATTCAAGAGTCAGACTAGTTTTGGGAGTGTTCCGTGCGTTATAGAGCCTTTAGTTCTGTTACGCTGTTCTGCTAAGCTGACCACGTAAATCTCACCAAAGGCGGCTCGTGCCAAACGAACCAGGTTGTTGCAGACATAAGACATTCCTAGGGTTCGGACTTTCAGATAAAAACATATTCTTCCCCTTTAATCTTGAGCGATTAAAGTTCGGTGGAAATTCAAGACGCACTCAACGGTTTTCTTGTAGCAAAGCAGAGACATTTTCACACTGCTTCCACAGAGCCACGCATTTATAAAATAAACTTATCTTTTATTCTTAAATTGTTTATTTTCTGCCTTTACAATTTGCACTTTATTAAAAACCGGTAATGCTCTGCCGAGTTCTTTTATTCTCAGCTTTTATTCATTAGAAAGCTTGTGGAAAACTCACGTATATAAGTTCTATAAACCTATTAATTAACAAATAAATGACGTTTGACTACTTGTAATCACCGTAATTTACTGTACACTCAAAACAGCTCACACAGAACTCGTCCTCGAGGCATACCAGCATACGCAACTGTGCCATCTATCTTCTTAATTCCATATACCTCGGTGGCTGAAATCTATCATGGGCTTGAGAGGTGATGCTCCACATGTCGAAGTTGGGAATCATTTGCAACACATTAAAAAGTGTATGGAACAAAGAAGAAGTTCAGCTCGTATTCTACGCCAGGACACCCGGTAGCTGAGATCCAACTTCCTCGATGACGTCAGCCCTCGAGCGCCATTCTTTAGCACCACTCCTTCAATTCTGAGTATAATTGTTTTATTGTTCACGGCCAGGAAATATTTTAGTACCGAACTCTTTGCTTCTTTTGATTTTGTATGTTGTATTAACTCAATCAGTTTTTTGTTGTACAAAGCATTAATATGAAATAAATTATGTCTATAAATTAACAAGTCACGCCTACAGACAGACAGCACTTTTGGTAGAAAAGAATTTCTCTTAATCCTTCTAATCTGAACGTAAGAAGATAACGCAATTATTACCTTTTTTTTAAAAAACAAAATGTTGCGCCTCGGCAAGATATCTCTTAGCCCTTCTTGCGCAATGAGCGTTATGTGGAGCCCCTTTCATTTGTTTTGTCTTTTGTCTCGTCACGACACACTTTATGCCTTCTCTCGCAGTTATTATCCGGGGTTCTCAGATGGACACCCGTTGAGGAATCCGTCGTGTCCCGAATTGCTTAACTTTTGTGACTTCACGGAATGCAGTTAATGTAATTCGGCCAATGATGCCGGTTCTTAAGTAAACACTAATTCACAAACATGATTCTTTCGATTCAGAATTTTACTCTCAATTCAGGTTAAATTGTGACTGATTCTCAATTCAAGTTAAATTGTGACTGGTTTATCTCATTTAAATGGATAATTTCTTTGCTCCAGTAGAGGAAATGGGAATTAAAATCTCTAAATTTTGGGCAACGACTGTCAACTGAATACTCCAAAAGGCTATGGACCATGTATCGAAATATGTCCGGAGGAATTTATAAGAAATCTTCCTTTTAAACCTCGCAGCAGTTGCTTCTCGCCATCCATATCGCTGCATCTGAGATTGGACACTCGCGCATTGAGGTCACGTGAGAGAGCTTTCGTA